AGGGCAGGGGGGGAGTCCCCATCCCTGGGGGGGTTTCCAAGCCCTGGAGATGGTGCTGAGGGACATGGGGTAGGGGTGGCCTGGGCAGGGCTGAGGGGTGGTTGGACTGGGTGGTCTTGTCCAACCAGAACAACTCTGATTCTAGGACATGGACAGTGGAGAGCTCTCCAGCCTGAGCTCAGCCCCACAGCAAGGAGGTGGGTAATTAGAATAAAAATCACATTCATGCATTCTGCGTGAGAACAGTGCTACTGCTGGACACTAAAGATCCTCTAGCTCCAACCCTCTCCCATGGGCAAGGAGATGGGCAATATGGAATAAAAGATGCTAAAACTTCTCCCATGGGGTTGAAGGCATTTTCTCCTCCATGTCTTTCATGCCATCCTCTGGGGAGTAACAGAAATGAGAAACATCCATCATCCAACCCTGGTCCCCTGTGACAGAAGAGGGGTGAGCAGGACCCCACCAGTTCTGGGCTTGCTGCAGGGGCTTGGCAAGGAGGAACCAGGATAATGACTTGAAAGTCTGTCCTGATTCAACAACCAGTTTCCCTTTAAATGTTCTCAGCTCCTCATTCTAAAGCAGCAGTGGTGTTAGTCATGATCATTAGTATCAGTAGTTTATCTAAATTTGAGCATGTATGAAGCAGGTAAGTAAGGAAGAAGAAAAAGAATATGGACACGGTGGGAACTGCAGATATTGTGAAGTTTTTAAGGCAATGGTGCTACCTTTGGACCTTTATGGTCCCTTCCAACCCAAACCATTCCATGATTGCTTTGCATTTCTGCCAGCCATGGGGCACCTGGATCACTTCCTCCACTCAACACATCAGTGTTATCTACCTCACCAAAAAGTAAATTGGTCTTCAGAAGGGAAGGTCGGAATGTTCCAGCCCTGACATATTAAGGCACTCAGATTCCTTTTCCCTCTCCTTTTGAGAGGAGGTTGAACCCCAAAGCATTCAACATGGTTCACTTGACTCAACTACAATTCCCCCTTTTTCCCCTACCAGGGAATAACCCTCTGTTTTTTCCCTTAGCTCTGGCAGTGACTTTGGAGCTCCAGAAACGTCAAGTTTGTGCTACTAGATCTTCTTTGGGACCACAACACTGCACTGGCCCCTGCCTGGCCAGGGAAACTCCTTCAGCATCCAACACATTTGCTAAAGGAAGAAACTGTCTCAGCAAACGTTGCCAACTTCCACTTGGTCACGAATTTGAGCTGACAAAGCAGTTTGCAAGGACCTCCAGCAAACGCTGCCTCCTGCGCAGTCCCTGACACTCCACATCATAGCTTTTGAAATGGACATTCAAGCCTCAAACCGATCAAATGGACACTCTATTTTTTGGTTGAGTGGTTGAGTCACAGACTGGAATGAACTCACAGAGAAGGCTTAAAGCTGTGCAGACTGAGGCACTCAGCTACCACCACAAGGCCCAGAAAACATCAAGGCAACAGATTTTCCCCCCTGCTGGGCTAAGTGCTGGCAGAGTGGTCACCAGAGGAGCACCTGGAACCTGGGCCTTCTGCTTGGACAAGGAAGAGTCTTTGACTTCAGATATATCCGAAGGTTGCCAATTGTTCAGACAGCACCAGCAATGAAATACCTTCTGAGTGTCAGAGAGAGGGAACCAGCTCTGATTCAGTTTAAGAAATGAGTTGGGCAAATAAGTTTTTCCAGGTGCTATCAGTTTGGTCTCCAAGTCACCAGCAGCCTCACACACAGGAGATGTAAGACATGCTCCTTGGGAGGACTCACACTTGGACACATGCACCTGAGATCCCCAGGTAGGTTTGGACAAAGAGACAACATGAGGAACAGCTCTGGAGCAGGCTGGGCTTCAGGGTCTGGTCTCAGAGGTGACCCCATCCAAGAGCTGCCAGCTCCAGCTGAAGGCTTTGCTGTTCACCCCAAAGAGACCTGAGGGATCACTCAAGGGCTGCTGGTTCAAAAGTCCAAGCATAGTGAGAACCACATCACCAGCCTCCGAGAGGAAGCCCAGGCACTTCTGCTGTTGACTGTTGGATCAGGCTGGTGGTGAAGCTCCAACATGCAGGGCTTTCTGCTCTCAGCCTTGCAGAGCTGCCTGGAGAGGTTTCCAGGGCTAGTGAAATAAATCCTGCTGCTCAAGAGACACCCTGAGGAGAGAGCCCCACCAACCCCAACAGCTCCTGAGAGGATGGTCTTTTCTGCCCTACCTGGCTGTTGTGGATCCACCAGGATCCATCCCACAGACAAGCTCACTTGCTTCTTCTTGGCCACATTCATCCTGAGCACCACATCAGGAGCAACCTGGTCTGGTGGGAGGTGTCCCTGCCCATGCTGAGGGGGTTGGAACTGGATATCCCTAAGGTCCCTTCCAACTCAAAACCATTCCATGATTCTATTATATGATTCTGTGAAAACAGCCCAGGCTTCATCACCATCCTCCTGCTGCTCATTCCAAAGGAAGCCAACCCATCTGAAACGTGGAGCTCAGCCAACACCCACTGCTGCACAGCTCAGGCAATGCACTCCTCGGCACAGCCACAGGGAAGGAACTTCTTCCTCATGGCCAGAGTCCTCTCACAGCTTGGGACACTGTGCTGCTGCAACCCCAACAGGTCAGACTTGATGGGCTTTGGCTGCAGCAACACTGGCTTCTCCATCAGTCAGTGCTGCAGCAGAAAAGGACCTTGTACACGGGGCTCTGTGTTGTCCACAGCACCATCCTCAGAACCCCAGACATCTCAGCCTGAATGCTGCAAAGGGTGGGTGTGATGAAGACAAACCAAGCTTCAGGACTGTCCCAGTTGTCTAGAAGGGCAGTCTTATCATGCACAAGAGTCCATGAAATCACTGGCCAGGCTAAACATTTCTGAAGATGCTTGAATGACTCTGAGGCAGGAGCCCATCTCACCTAGGTTCATTAACTAAAGGTAAGACCTTTTAGCCACAATCAATGGAGGCAAAGCAGACCCCTTCAGAGGGTCACCATCCCACCCACACTGCCACTCCTGCAGAGCTGACAGCCTCGTGTTACCTGCCAAGAGCACCACAGCTAGGATCCTGGGCTGGATGGACACTCCTCTTCCAGATAACAGACACCAGGGTAACAAGCCCCAGACTCAGGAACTGTATGTCCCCCAAGAGAGCAGTGGGAAGTTCACAAGCACTGTGAACATCCTTCTCACAGGAAGCCTACAATAAACCACTGTATTTGTGTATCCCAGCCAACCTCAAGCAATTACACTGAATTACCCCATCAAGGAATCCCAGGGGTCGGAAGGGACCTGGAAAGCTCCCCCAGCCCAACCCCCCTGCCAGAGCAGGGGCACCCAGAGCACATCACACAGGAACGTGTCCAGGTGGGTTGGAATGTCTCCAGAGAAGGAGCCTCCACAGCCTCTCTGGGCAGCCTGGCCCAGGGCTCTGTCACTCTCACAGTGAAAATCTTTTTCCTCACGTTTACATGGAACCTTCTCTGCTCCAGCTTGTGCCCATATCCCCGTGTCCCAGCACTGGGCACCACTGGGAAGAGCCTGGCTCCATCTCCTGACGCTCGCTCTTTAAATCCAGGGGAGCTGTGATGAAGGAGCACAGACCAACAGCACAGCTCCCCATGCTTTCAGATGTGCATGCCCTGTCCAGCTGGGGTTTTGGGGACATTTCCGTAGCCACTGAACTGGGGGTGTGGGTCCCATGGGAGCTGGTGAAGCACTTCCTGAGGTTTTGGGGTAAAGGAGGTCTTTTTGGGGTCAGGGTCTTTGCCTTCCCCTTCCCTGTTCCTCTGCTGCTGTTCTCGCTCAGCACAGCTACCAAAGCCCAGTACAACACTTCTTTCCTGCTCTCCAAAGGGCTTACACTTCTCTCAAGTCTGATTTTTCCAGTTTGCCTTTCAGCAGTGAAATCGAAAAGTCTTGTATTTCAAGTGAAAAATGAAAACATTATATCATGAAGCTTCCACTCTTCCTCCCTGTCACCACGCCCCATCCAGAACAGACTTGTCCCTCCTTCTGCCATCCTTCCCTTCTGATTCACACTGCAATTGATTTATTTCTTGACACGGTCCTTTCTGCTGCCTGCTTGTTCTCTCATCTGCCCAGGAAATGATCTGGATCCAGCCCCAGCTGTCCAGCTCTGGACCCCAGCCTGGTGGAGCAACCTCAAGAGAAACACCAGGGGCAGAAATGGTGAAGGAGCTATTGTGACTTGTCAGCATGGAATGGGACCCACCTTCCCCATCAGGAGCATAGTCCTGCTCACTCCCCCCACAGCTGCTCTGTGGGACCAAGACCAGGGACTAAGGATCAAAGTATTTTCACTGTTCTCAGCTCTCTCTACTCCTTTTTATTCCCCCCCAAAAAACATCTCTCAACACAAGTATGCTTCCTTCCCGCTACCTCCAATTCAAGGCATCTCTCCCTTCAGCTCCTCTGTCTCAGGCCTGGGGTGATGGCAATTCCTTCCTGCCAGCACAGGGAATTAACTGAACCCGGGTGCTGCTAAGTGCTCACAGCATTGCACTTCCATCTCGGCAGCGGGACTTAGTAAAACAAATGGTGTCAGCCCATGTACCAGTCCTGATTAACTTTGTCAAGGTTTCTGCCTTGAGGCTGACACTGCCAGAGCTTGTTCCCAAGAGAGAATTACTGAACACTCTCACGTGTACTCCTGAGAAGAGTGGAAGATTCCTGGACGTAGCTGAGATTAACCTCCTCCCCACCGCAGGTGCTCAGGCTGGTGACCAGTGCTCCAAGTGTGCCAGCAGACTTGGAGCAGGACTTTCAGGCTCTGCCACAGGACTCCAACTTGCCCTGAACTTCCCTGTGTCCCCCAGCTGCAGGGGGTTAGATGAGGCAACCTGCAAAGGTTCCTTATGACCCAAACACTTTTGGTTCTACAATGACTCTACACGAATAGGGTTAGTGGAAGCCTCAGCTGAGAAGCCAGTGCTGGATCAGGCTCCCAGGGGTAGGTGGGATCTCCACAGGGATCACACAAGAGACGTGTCCAACCCTCAGCCTGTGGGTGAACACAGAGACATTCTCACTTAGGCCCTATGGGTGTCCCTGGACTTTGCTGTGCCCAGTTCTGGGCTCCTCATGCCCAAAAGACAAGGAGCTACTGGAGCGAGTCCAGGGGAGGCTGCGAGGGGCTGGAGCTCCTCTTGGAGGGAAGGCTGGGAGAGCTGGGGCTACTCAGCTGGAGAGGAGGAGGCTGAGGGGATCTCATCAGTGCTGATCAATATCTACAGGGGCTGTCAGGAGAATGGGGCCAGGCTCTTCTCAGTGCTGTCCAGTGACAGGACAAGGGGCAATGGGCACAAACTGGGACACAGAAGCTCCACCTGAACATGAGGAAAAATGTCTTGACTTCAGGTGTCACAGAACATTGGAACAGGCTGCACAGAGGTTGTAGAGTCTCTGGAGACATTCAAAATCTGCCTGGATGCCATCCTGTGTCACCTACTCTGGGTGACCCAGCTTGAGCAGCGGGTTGCGCTGATCTCCAGAGGTCCAACCTCAATCACCCTCACTCTGATTCTGTGTCTTTTGGAGCACTAGCTCACTGGCCTTGCTCTCCAGCCCTGTGTGCCAAGGGCAAGCAGGCTGGGTTTCTCCCTCTGGTGCTGGGCTACAGACCTTCACAATGCCTGGTGTGGTACCACCTGGACTTCTAGCACATGCCTTTCCAAACCAAGCATCATTTTGCTTTCGGTGCTCCTCTGACAGAGAGGCTTGAAATTAAATGAAAATCCCAGGTTCAGCTCCCAAGACCTCACTGCCCAGCTCTTACTTGGGGCCCACAGTGTGTTCAAGGAGCACAAGGAGGTTCAGGCTACCCCAGCTCTCTGCCAGCTTGGCAAAGGTGACAGGAACAGAGCAGAACAGGTAATTTAAAACTACCAATGATCAGACAAGGGGATTCCCCCTCGAGAAAATCTCCAGTGCTCCAAGTTTTGTGACCAGGCTGGGATGGAATGGTAAGTTCATCCTCAGGACTTGCTGCAGAATAAAAATTCCCTTTCCTTTTCCTTTTTTTGATGCATCAGAACTTCCAGTCTTGTAACTCCACATCAGTGAGTCACTGCACATTCAAAGCAACAGAACAGTATCTGTGCAGTGACTGAGTCTGTGTTTACCGAAACATAAGGTTTTGAAAATAAAAACAAAGATAAAAAACATGGAAGCCAAGATTATACATTTTTAACAACTCCTGCCCGCAAAAAAACCCCGCCAGCACTGTTGTCATTATACTGTGGAGCATTTCCATTTCGACAAATCTGTGGTTTCTGAAGGAAAACAGCAGCATCCAAACCTTCCTGCCCTTGCCTCACTGGACCAGGTGTTCCCAGCAGGATGGGGGAGGGAATCCTGGCTGTCCCAGGAGCCCTGCCCGCAGAACAGCCTCCAGCACCATGGAGAGGGGACCCAGATGTCCCCAGCATGGGTCACCCCGAAAGGAAACCAGGAAAGAGGGAGAAAACCAAGGGAATGGCACAGGGAAAAGGAGTCCTGGCAGTGAATGGATGGTTCCTGAACAGCTCCTGTTTTAAAGTCTTCTCCTGACCCAGACCTGACCATCTCCATTGGCTCCAGGGCACGGGGGGATGTACCTGCCCTGCACCCCGTCCAGGAGGTTGGAGCTGAAACACGAGCCCATCAGCTCCCAGGAAGAGGGAGCAGCTGGTGGGCACAGCCAAGAGCCACTGCCCACCCCGCAGCGCCGCGCTGCGCTCCGGGATGGCACTGGGATGGCTTTGGATGGCACCAGCATGGTGCCAGGATGGCTCTGCTGTGTCTCCAGCACACGTCCTCCCCACAGAGGGGCACCCCCACAGGCCCCACCAACACCCCTCCCTCTGCAGAGACGGGCAGGGCTGGGGCTGAGTTCCCATGTGTTCTTCACATCGCACCGGTTTCCTCACCCCTCGCAAACAACACCTAAAAACCCACCCAAAGCCCAGCTCCCAGGCCCGCCCCTGCAGCAGAGCTTTGCTCAAGCAGCCCTCCGGCTTCCCAGGGAGCTGCAGAATCAGAGAGGAGGGGAGCGTGGCTGCAGCATCTTCCCCAGGTGGCCGGGCCAAAAGTCCCATGGGCGCTGCCGGTTGTGGCCATGGAAACTGCGGGTGGAAGCGCAGGGACTCCCTGCTTTGTGCAGCCCGGGCCATCCGTATCAGCTGGAGATCCGCCCACTGATTTATGGTGGAAGCACTAACAAACCCTTAAATGTGGCACAGCAAATAGCAGCATTACACCAGCACCATGGCATGGGAGGCTGAGGCTGCCTATTGCTCCCCGAGGATTTGTTTAAGGACAAGAGCCATGATGAATACAGCCTGGGTGGCTCAATTACATGGGGACTCAATTACTTAAAACAAAGAAACTGGATGAAAAAAGTATGACAAAAATTCAAAATTATTTCGCTGCTGGAGGTCACATATAACAGCCCTGTCATCCATAAATCTGGAAATCTCTAAGGCATGCTACTCCTGTGTTGAGAGATGACAATTAATTGGTATTTTACTTACCTCATCCATGCAAATTATGCAGGGAAAAATTCTAATTACTGCATGCTACATGTATATAAGGTCAAAGTGGGCCAGCTTTTGACAGTGGTGTAAAATGGATTATGTTTATCCTTCACATGAGGGCCATGATCCTGCATGAGCCATGGGGCTCCTGCCTCCCACTGCTTGTGGGGACGGTGCCTGCAGAGGAGGGACAGACGAGGCAGCCACACAACCAGGGAGCAAACACAACACAAGGTCGGGGAGAAGTGCTCAGTGCTTCAACCAGCAAGAATCCACAGCACAGGGAACAGTGGGGCTCCTGAACACTGTTCCTCACCCTCAAAAAAACGGGGATCCTGCCTTCCAGCCTGGAAGGATTTTATGGGGCAGAAAGAAGACAAAGGGGTTGGGCATGGGGCTCCTTGCTGGGGAAGAGAACCAAGAGCATTTGTGTACCCTGATGGAGATGTCCAGACCCACGTGGATCTGAGCAGAGGGACTCAGGACCACACCAGGACCCATGTCCTGCCCACTCCAGCCATGGACCCTCACTCTCTGCAAACCAGGAGCAGCCTGTGCTGAGCCCCCGCAGCAGCGACAGCAACTTACCCAGGAGCCCAGGGTTGGGAAACCTCCAGGAGTCGTTGTACGTGGAATACTGTGGGTGGCTGTAAGGGCTCCCAGAAAACTCACTCCCTGAGGAAAGGAGACAAAGAGAAAACAAAACATCATTTGAGTTAAGTCCACAGGCACCGTGTGGGAAGAGGAGCTCCTCAGCACACACTGCTCCACTGAAGCACCTGGACACGCTCTGTAAGGGAGGGCAACACAGGGGGGAGAACTATTAAATAAATGGGTGCAGCCACCTTCTAAGTGTCCTTCTTGTGCTGCAGGCCAGGCCTGCTGAGCTGGTGGGATGTTCTCAGGCAGCTCATGCTGCAGGAGCAAGACAGAGGAGGAATGGAGAGCACTCTGGGATGCAGGATGGGGCTGGCCCTTGCCTCTACAGCCTTGCAACACTCAGGGCAAGAGGCAATACAAGGACAGGGCTGCTCAGACAGGGTCTCTGCTGGCAGAGAATGAGATAATCTAGGTACTGGATACCCTTCCAGGCTCTCCAGGAGAACAAGGTCTTGGTTCCATACATCCACCTATCACTGCAACCCAGAGGGATACTCGCATCAGTTTCAGATGGCTTTGAAACACTCCAAAGGCACAAAAAAGACTCAAAGAGTTACTTCTACTTGTCTCCTCACCAACTCCTGCTCTCCCCATCTGTTTCTTCTCTTCACATGTCACCTCCTGTTTTATACTTCAGCTGAAAGCTCCTCAGGACAGAGCCTTGCACCATGGGGCTCTGACCCTGGGCAGGGGACCCGGTTCCACCACCGTGCAAATACCAAAAGGCTGCTGATTGGTAGGGAAATCTGCCACAAATGACATTTTCTCTCTTGCCTCCTCTCTGCCTTCCTCTTCTCTTTTTCCTTCTCTCATACAAAAATACATGCTCAACGCCACAGCACAGCAGGAGAAGGAGCAGGTTTCCTATGGCAAGAGGAGGAGAAGGCTCCAGGCTCAGCAGAAGATGCTCGTGGTCCCCTTTGCCTGGTGTGATGCTCAGCACTGTTGCAGCCCCTGCCCTGGACTCCAGCACCACCTCAGCAGCTCCCCAGGGCTCAGCACCACCCATGGACCTGCCCTGGGGACCACATTTGGGTCCCCACACCCATCAGTGCCCTCCTGGCTCAGGACACAGTTTAGGTGAGGTGCTGACCTGCTGGCCCAAGGCTGGAGGGGGATGAAGCTCTGGTGACCCGTGGGGTCCTGTGGCTGCACCAGCAACTCTAGGCTTGGCAGCCTGGTGGGCTCCACAGCCATGCAGACCTGGCAGCCCCTGGGCTGAGCTCCAGGGGATCTCTGATAACACCCCTTTCTGTTCCCCACAGACCCTGGCCCCACGGGATGGCACCCACCAGCCTCCACCTGCTCCTCCCCAGTGTCTACAGACAGACAATGAGACAGGGTCTGAAGCCACTGCTGTCCTGACCACATCTCTGTGAGCAGAGCAGGTTTTCCTTCTAAGGAATGGCACCATTTCACCATAAGCCAAGGAAAACAGCCTCCAAACCCTTTTTCCCAGTAAGCACATAATATCTACATTTCCTCCCTGCTCCCTGTCCTGATGGATGACAGATTACTTCAGAACCTGAAGGCTCCCTCCATCACAGTGCTCACTCTAGACATGGTGAAGACCCCAAAGCCAGAAGAGATGTCAGGAGCCCACCAAGGCACCAGGGAGGTCCCTGTGGCAGGACACAGCAGCTCCTCTCTGGCCCCTCTGCCTCCCTCCCCACTGCCACCTGAGCTGTCTGCTAACCCCAGCCCTCCCAGCTCCTCCCCTGCTCCCAAAACCCTTCCACCAGTCTGCCCCCTAGTCTGCCCCAGTGTCTCCCCAAGCCTGTGGGCAGCAGAGTGGCCCATAATGTCACCGGTGGGTGGCAGGGCCTGTCCCGGCCCTTGAAAGCCCTTCCCTGAATTCCTTGTCATGAGGGTCACCTGTGACAAACTGCTTTTCAGTATATGGACAGCAGAACCTTTCTCCTCTTCTAGCAGGCCTGACCTGGCATTACTGGAGTTTATGACTTTTCATAGGACCAGCATCAAATCACATGAGACGGGGGGGTTGGCATTTTCTGTTGGAATTTTAAAGCCAACAGAACAAAGGGAAGAAATAACTTTATCTGGAAATGTCCCATTATCTGGAATTTCTGCCTTACTTCTCCCCAGGTTTTCCGGACCCCGCGGGTGCCGCTGCCCCGGCCCGTCCCGACACCTCCATCTACCCCGCGGGGACAGAAACGAGGAGATTTCTCTCCATTTTGGTTGCATCCAACAGCTGCCCTGACAGACACGGCGGGGGGGGGGGGAGCAGCTCTGACTGCAGCGTCCTGCAAGGCAGGGACAGCAGGACAAGGCAGGGACAGAGGGACAAGGTGGGGAGAAAGGGACAAGGCAGGGAGGGAGGGACAAGCAGGGACAGAGGGACAAGGCAGGGACAGAGGAACAAGCAGGGACAGAGGGACAAGGTGGGGAGAGAGGGACAAGACAGGGACAGAGGGACAAGCAGGGACAGAGGGACAAGCAGGGACAGCAGGACAAGCAG